ATCCAATATTGAAAAAGTTATTCCGTTTTAAGATGTATCCCAATATTAATAAGTATGTATGTATTTGAAAGTTGCCAAATACACATAGTGTTTTTCTAATCACCTGTAAGCATATACAGTTATGTAAGCCAAGCGGTATTTTGTTGTTATCGTAATCATTATTACGTTTATTCGTCACAGGGACACGTGCATTTTATGCCATTACCCTCGCATCTGCGAAATTGTTTGCCTCGTGACCCCATGACACATGTTCCGCTTATAGCAATCGTTTCGTTAATTTAACATTTGCACAGTTAGACTGCATTATCGTCTCGCGATCAGGCGCACCGTCTCTAGCCCGATATAACAATAATTGCTTTTTAAACGGCCGATAACAAGAGCTTAGCTTAATGCCTAAACGCGTGGATCAGATTGATAAGAATGATAAGGCAACCTTTTCTCTGGTTCGAGAGGATCTTCCGTTTCGTCTAATCAATTGCTTGGAATAATTGAAGCACTTCGATAAGAAATTCTCTGCCCAGGAGATAGAGTCACTTGTCTCAAGTTTTGTTAGCTAAACGCGAGGGGCAAACTTGAAAATGATTTTCCAGATTGTATCTGAATTAAATCAGTTGATTAATACCTTATGTCATTCTTTTACTGTGGATCTTTATGCAAAATAAACTACTTGTAATGTCAATATAAAAAAATAAAACTCATGCATTTCAAAAACAATATAACATATGTAAGTTTCTAGAAGAAGAATGAATTCGATAAAGATTGACAATGCGGAGCTTTAATATTTATTTGAAGAATACAATATGTACTTGGATGATTCACTGACAATTAGGATAAGGAGTTTAGTGCAAACAGTGCTCGTAAGAGAAATATTTGATGTGTATTTAGGAGCTTTCTCAAGGCTTCTTTGACTCACATGCATGTGATTGCATTATCGCAGATACGAGCGAGCTTTATCGGCGCAAGAATAGAAATACGTCATCGTTTCCTTTAGCCTAGGAACAATCTACACGCATATATCTAAATACACTTTATTGTCTGCCTTTCCCATTCAAAATTTTGCATTCAGCTAAACCTTTTAAGGGATTAGGATAGTTACGTGACTCTTCTAAAAGTCAGCGAATTTTTTACATTTTTACTTCATTTTATCCATAGTCAAGTAAAAATAATATAAAATATAGGTTTACGGGACTACACTTTTCTTTCTCATATATTTTAAGAAGATTTTTGGATCGTCATGTACATCTTTCAAAAGTCAAAAGTTAAATCTTGATTTCATTCAGAACAATCTTTCTTGGATATACAATTGCTTATAAACAGAGCCATATAAGTGGCCATAAGACCATATAAGTGGTCAAAATGTGTTGTTTAAATTTTCATTACAAGCCCGGATAAAAATGTTAGGTAATCGATCTTCACATTTTTCCTTACGATTTCTACAAATTTCAATTTTTTCGCAATTTTTTGTACTCATGATTTAGCAAACTAATCTACGTAATTATTAAGAAAAACTCAGGTGGTTTGGCCTGAAAAATGTATTTCCATATTTTTGGCCAATTTATTTTCAAAAACAATATAACATATGTAAGTTTCTAGAAGAAGAATGAATTCGATAAAGATTGACAATGCGGAGCTTTAATATTTATTTGAAGAATACAATATGTACTTGGATGATTCACTGACAATTAGGATAAGGAGTTTAGTGCAAACAGTGCTCGTAAGAGAAATATTTGATGTGTATTTAGGAGCTTTCTCAAGGCTTCTTTGACTCACATGCATGTGATTGCATTATCGCAGATACGAGCGAGCTTTATCGGCGCAAGAATAGAAATACGTCATCGTTTCCTTTAGCCTAGGAACAATCTACACGCATATATCTAAATACACTTTATTGTCTGCCTTTCCCATTCAAAATTTTGCATTCAGCTAAACCTTTTAAGGGATTAGGATAGTTACGTGACTCTTCTAAAAGTCAGCGAATTTTTTACATTTTTACTTCATTTTATCCATAGTCAAGTAAAAATAATATAAAATATAGGTTTATGGGACTACACTTTTCTTTCTCATATATTTTAAGAAGATTTTTGGATCGTCATGTACATCTTTCAAAAGTCAAAAGTTAAATCTTGATTTCATTCAGAACAATCTTTCTTGGATATACAATTGCTTATAAACAGAGCCATATAAGTGGCCATAAGACCATATAAGTGGTCAAAATGTGTTGTTTAAATTTTCATTACAAGCCCGGATAAAAATGTTAGGTAATCGATCTTCACATTTTTCCTTACGATTTCTACAAATTTCAATTTTTTCGCAATTTTTTGTACTCATGATTTAGCAAACTAATCTACGTAATTATTAAGAAAAACTCAGGTGGTTTGGCCTGAAAAATGTATTTCCATATTTTTGGCCAATTTAATGAGTACTATTGATATCCAGTTTCATCGTGCCGCTATTGGAGTTTATCCTTTAATATTGAAATGAATCTGAGTAATATGTAGTGAAAAAATTTCGGGTTAATATACAAAGATCGTGATCTATAGATCATCTGTATGTTTGAACGTTCCCGCTTGATCGACGCCAGCAAGTGTTGCCAGAGGCAGGTGACGTAAGCCATACAGTTAGCAGACCTTGTTGCTACTATACATACGTGTCTGTGATCGATCCGTGAAAGCTACTGCGTGATCTAACGATCCCCTGATCCCGTACTGGTTGTGCTTCGACCTATCGACTTCCTCGATTAGGCTGCAAAATTTAAAAGACTTACCTTGTTCGTCAGGCGATTGGTAAATTCATTTTGGAACGTTTCGAGGGTCAAAGAGGGATAAGTACTTACAAGCTGAATTACGTAACAAAGGTGAAACGCTTTTAGGCGCCACGAGTTTGAAAGTCGAATCTTGGATAGAAGATGCTCGAATGATTCAATAACGAATACTAAATCAAAAACAGATTTAAAGAAACAAGGAATGAGTAATGTAATCAGGACTAATCAAGCATTCCGATTTGTATTTAAAGTCAGATCTGATTTGTCTAATTAATTAATAACTGTATACAAACAAAACAGAATAAAATAACGAATAATGAAATTATAGTAATCAATTTAGATAAATATTGAAGATTATACAACGAAGAAATTAATCTAAAGAAAACTGTAGAAGTTTATACGAGGAAATCAAATAACAAATAATACAAAATTGTATTGATAATGATCAATTTCAATAAATATTGAAAATCGGTACATGAAGAATG